TTGGGAGGGCTGGGTCCCTCTGTGCCCAGCCCTGGGCATTCCAGTCCTTCTGGGACAGGCTCCAGCAGCTTCCCAGGGGTTGCCAAGGGCCCTCGGAGGGACGGGGAAAACCTCGGCTCCTTCAATCCTCCAAAAAAAAACCAACAAAAAAAGAGGGAGAAAGGGAAAAGCTGGATCCCTGCATGCTCTGAATCTTAATCTTTCCTCTTTCAGGCCATTCTGCTCCCCAGCACAATCCGTGTTTTCCATCAGGGAGCTCCTGGAAGCTTTGTGGGATTGGGCAGTGCCGGCCCTGGGCACCCCGGGACCCCCGGGATCCCCCCGGAGCGTCACTGCTGGGAGCTGGCACTGCCCCGGCTGCGGGATTTCCCTGATTCCCGTGGCTTTAAAGGTCATGGCAGAAGGAAATCAGTGGGATTTGCCAGGAGGAGCTGTGGATTGACCCCTGGAATCATCCAAGGGGCAACCTGGGATAGTGGAAGGTGTCCCTGGAATGGAGGGGGAGGGATGGGATCAGCTTTTGGGTCCCTTCCCACCCGAACCATTCCAGGACTCCCCATTTCTCTCAGACAGGGCCGGGTTCTCGGCTCCTTGTGATAAATTTGAGCCAAATTTGACGTTCCAGAGATGGTGACAGCCCCCAAATGTCCTTGGCATGGCGTGGCCAGCTGGGAAATCCAAACCCAAACAGCTGGGAACACACTGGCACAGACCAGGGGATTCTGGAATTTAAAGCAGGAAAGGGTTTTGGTGTTTTACCCCAGATATTCCTCATCTCTGCACCCACGGCTCCCACACTGAATCCTGGGAATTCTGTGCTGGGATGAGAGCAGCGACTGGGGATGTCCAGGTCCATCTGGAAAAAATTCCCAATGTCCCTCACACGGAAAATGGGCTCAGAAATTCTCTGGAATTTAAAGCAGGAAAGGTTTTTGGTGTTTGACTCCAAATATTCCTCATCTCTGCACCCATGGCTCCCACACTGAATCCTGGGAATTCTGTGGGATGGGAGAAGTGATGTCCAAATTCCTGGACAAAATTCCCTGTGCCCCTTACACTGAGCGCAGGAATCCCTCCGGCATTTAAACCAGTGTTTCATTCCAAATATTCCTCAGCCGCACTGGTGCATCCGTGATTCCCAGCCCAAATCCCGCTCCGTTTCCCGAGGCTCTCCCCATCCCCGAGCCGGCAGAGCCGCGTTTCCCCTTGCTGGGAATGCAGAAACGCTGCGGCTGCACTTTCCCTGCCCAGCTAATCCCATTTGTCTCCTGGCTGCTCCCAAAATGCCTTTTAAGGATTCCCAGCAATGCAGCAGAGAAATCCATTTGCAGGCACGAGGCAGCCGGGAGGGGAATTTTGATTTCCCGGTTATTAGCGGATGACAAGGTGAGGGACCGGGGGAAGATTGATCGCCCAGAGAAGCATTTTTTACTTTGCCCAATTAATCCTGGCTCGGCTGTAATCAATCCAGGGCCGGGAGGAATCGGGTGGGAACGCTTCCCTCTGCGGCTGCCTCGCGCGGGGGGATGGATGGAGACGTTTTCTCCTGGATGTGGCACAGGGAAATCCCCTCAGACTGGGATTTCTGCAAGGAAAAATGGATACCAGGAAAATCTCCTCAGACTGGGATTTCTGCAAGGAAAAATGGATACCAGGAAAATCTCCTCAGATTGGGATTTCTGCAAGGAAAAATGGATACCAGGAAAATCTCCTCAGATTGGGATTTCTGCAAGGAAAAATGGATACCAGGGGCCAGGGCTCTCTTTTTCCTGCAGGGAGAGCGGATTGAGGCCATCAATCCACATTAGGGAGGCCGCACAGAATTCCAGCAGGAGGAATTCCAGCAGGAGGAATTCCAGCAGGAGGAATTCCAGCAGGAGGAATTCCAGCAGGAGGAATTCCAGCAGCCCCCCAGGTGTTTTTGAGGATGGGCTTTGATCCTGGGGTTTGCCCTCAGGTTCACTCTGGGTTTTCCTTCTGCTTCTCTCCTTTTGCCCTGGGCCGGGTCAGGTCAAACCCTGCCAGAGGCTCAGGGCAGCTAAACCCGGCCCAGAAACACCTGAGGGGTGTGGGGGGCTCCGAGCCCCGGGATCTGGGGCTAAAAATTCCCAAAATCCGGGTGTGACCGCAGCCCTCGATCCCATTCCAGGCGGAATTCCTCCCAGGCTGTCACTAGAGCTGTTTTGGGGTTTTCTCTGCAGCCCAGGGGATTTGGGCCCATTCAGCACAATTCCCAGCTTTTCCTGCCTGGATCCCAGGCGCTGCAGGAGATCAGTGGGGATTTTTAACCCATTGTAACCCAGGTTTAACCCAGTTCAAGGCTGTCGGCCCAAGCCGGGGAGGAAAATGCTGAATTCTTTTTTTTTTTTTTTTTCTCCAGGATGTGAATTTAAAGCAGGAAAGGTTTTTGGTGTCCTACTCCAGATATTCCTCATCTCTGCATCCATGGCTCCCACATCAAATCCTGGGACAAGCCAGGGAATTGTGTGCTGGGATGAGAGGACATCCAATTCCACCTGGACAAAATTCCAGTGCCCTTTGCACTGAACACAGGAATTCCTCTGGAATTTGGGCAGGAAAACATCAAAATCTCAATTTTTTTCTTTTCTCTCCAGGATGTGACAGCTCCCTGTGAGTTCCTAGATTTCTTTTTTTTTTTTTTGGAAAAGCCAAAGTTTTCCTGTCCCCCCAGCACAGCAGAGGGACAGTGACCCCCCTTGGGTGCTGCAGTGGCCGAGGTGAAGCTGCTGTGGGGTGAAACCCCCAAATGTGGGGCTGCTCTCAAACCTTATCCCCATTCTAATTAACAGAATTACTAATTTGGGGCTCATTATCCCAGAGCATCCCAGGGGCAGCTTGTTCCAGCTGCTCCTGAGTGACATTTCCAACAGCACACAAAAGGAATTGGACAGTGGCAGGGAGCACCGGGAGGGATTAAACTTGAAAGAGAAATACAGCGGGGAAAAAAATCACATTAAACCATTTTGGAGCTTGTAGGGATGGAGCAGGGATGGGGACGCTGGAAATGAGGGATGGGGATGCTGGAAATCCGGGATGGGGATGCTGGAAATCTGGGATGGGGATGCTGGAAATCCGGGATGGGGATGCTGGAAAT